CTCATAATCTCTTTTTGCTTTTCTAATTCCCTTTTTTATTTCTCTCTTTAACTGAATATATCGATTTCTTAATTGCCCCTCTCCTCTTTTGATTTGCCTATATATGCCTCTCTTTTGACCAATCAGATATTTTAATCTATTGTTCATCCATTTAGGAACATTTTTGTTTGATCTGATTTCCCTATTTGGAACATAATTTGACTGAGCAGCTAGAACTATGCCCTGGAAAGCATCATATCGGCAACCATCACCACCTACCTGACCCTTAGTCAGGTCATTCCAGTTCAGTCCACCTAAGTAATTTTTCAGTCCTATGAAATCAGCCAAGCGAAAGTCAGGGACGGAGACTTGATTGCCATTATTAGGGGAATTCCATGATATATTAAAACTGAGTGATTTGTGATCACTTTCCCCAAGCTCATCATTAACCTCACGATTATTAATTAGTGTTTCCCTACTGGCAAGAACCAAGTCAAGGAGGTTATTTCCCCTAGTTGGCTCTGTCACAAACTGTTTTAAAAAACAATCCTGGATCGTATCAAGAAAGTCACCTGACTCTAAATTTCCTGTCAAATTGCTCCAGTCAATCTGTCTATAGTTGAAATCTCCCATTAGCACAACATTTTCGTATGTAGATGCCTTACGAATTTCATCTCATAGAAGTTTACTGCGCTCCCTATCAAGATTTGGGGCCCTGTAAATCACACCCAAAATTAGTTTTTCTCGGCCCTCGAGAAGCTGTAACCAAACAGATTCAGTGGCTGATGCTTCTACTTTTATATCTTGTCTAACACAACAATTTAAATTGTCTCTGACATACATCGCTACTCCACCACCCTTCCTGTTGACCCTGTCAGTGTGGAATAATTTATAGCCTTGTATGTGACATTCAGAGGGCATCTCTCTATCTTTCAGATTGAGCCAGGTCTCTGTTATAGCAATAATATCTATGTTTCCTGCACTTGCAATTAATCTTAGCTCATCTATCTTATTTCTTACACTCCTGCTATTAGTATAGTAAACCTTAAGGGAGCTAGTCCCTTGCTGTCCTCTGCTGTCCCCCTTTGTTTGCTGACCTGATCTATTGTCTTTATTTATAACTTCATGCTGAATGTCTTTTATACATTTACTGTTTCCAACCCTAGTGTTGCAACCTGCTTGTTTCCCACACACACCCATACCTCTATCTTCTATCAGTTTAAAATCATAGGCATTTCACCAATGGCCTTCTCAACTGAGTTTGCAAGTGCTACCACCCCAGCCCCAGAGAGATGTACCCCATCCCTTGAATACATATCATGTTTGCCATAAAAGTTGTTCCAGTTGTTAATGAATGGGATTGCTAGTTCCTTGCAGTATCTCTCTAGCCAGCAATTTACACCAATTGCCCTAGACAACCATTCATTTCCTACTCCCCTTCTAGGCAAGATGCTACATATGATTGGGACCCCTCCCTTAGACTTAATGAAATCTATAGCTGACCTGTACTTACCTAGCAGCTCTTCCCTCCTACCCTTCCCAATATCATTTCCACCAGCACTGAGACAAATAATGGGCTTGTTCCCATTACCTGACATATTATCATCCAGCCTGTTAACTATGTCCCCAACACCAGCTCCAGGGAAGCACACACTATCTCTCATCTTCTTATTCCTATTACAAAAAGCTCGGTCAATATATCTTACCTGAGAGTCACCAACCACAAGAATGCACTTACCTCTGTTAGCAGGGGCAGTAGTACCCTTACCTTCACTGGCCACTGAAGTACATTCATCCTGAAGAACAGAGAAGCAATTTCCTACCTTCAGATCTTCACTCTTAACTTTCCTTATTCTGATTCTCCTCCCATTACTGGTTACCACTCGCCACTTGTAGCAGGTGCTGGACTGCACCTCACTGCTGGTAGCCGTTGCTACCTCCCCACCTACAGCCTCCTCACAGCGAGAGACAGACTGCACCTCACTGCTAGAAGCCTCATTCCCCACAACTCCAGCCACCTCACACTCTCTCCCAGACCCAATGAGGTGGACCTTCAGCCTCCTTATCTCTTCCTAGAGAAGCATGCGACATCGTATATACTGCCGCTTCACTGGGGAACATTCACCCTCACTGCTTTCAATAACCTTGAAATCACTATCACTTGCACTGCTCACATTTGAGTCTTGTACACGGGCAAATAGTTTCCTTTTTCGTCCTGGTACGGGTGAACATGAACGAGCCGGCCCAGCACCAGAGGTGGAAGGTTGTGGGTCATCTGGGTTTTCATCACCAATTATGTTATCCTGGGCACTTTTTTCGGTCACACCCACTTCAAAACCAGGGAATTCACTTTCACTGACACTTTCATCACTGTTTGAGCTATCACTTGGGAACAAAAGACCTCCAATCCGCCGAGGAGTGAGGAACTTCTTACTGCGAGGCATGGTGAAAATGGACTTCCAAGATGGCGTTCCCACAATGCACCGCTGAGTCCCAGATTTTTTCACAGGGTACACACCCACCACTGAGACCCATTCTCTCTCATGTAGGCCTACCAGCCCTCTCCCGCTTGATTTGAAGCCGCTAGAATTTATGCGTATAGATACGTCAAACACGGTATCTCCCATGACGTATATATACGACCGCGGCAGTCAAGGTGTTAAGGTCAAGTTTTTGCCTCCTAATACCACTCCTCTCCTGCAGCCCATGGACCAGCAGGTCATTGCAAACTTCAAAAAACTGTACACAAAAGCTATGTTTGAAAGGTGCTTTGTAGTGACCTCAAAAACTCAATTGACTAAGAGAGTTTTGGAGAGATCACTTTAGCATCCTCAATTGTGCAAACATTATAGGTAATGCTTGGGAGGAAGTGACTAAGAGGACCTTGAACTCTGCTTGTAAGAAATTGTGGCCAGAATGTGTAGACAAAAGGGATTTTGGAGGGTTTGAGGCTAACCCTGGGAATCCTATGCCAGTTGAGGAATCCATTGTGGCATTGGGGAAGTCCTTGGGGTTGGAGGTTAGTGGGGAGGATGTGGAAGAGTTGGTGGAGGAGGACAATGATGAACTAACCACTGATGAGCTGCTGGATCATCATCAACAGCAAGAGGCCAGACCTGAGGAAACTGCTCTGGAGGAGGGGATAGAGAAATTGAAGAAGTTGTCTACTTCAAAGATTAAGGAAATGTGTGCAATGTGGCTTTAAGTGCAAACCTTTTTTGATGAAAATCACCCTCACACAGCTAATGCAAGCCGTGTTGGCAACCTGTACACTGACAATGTTGTGAAACACTTTAGGAATGTCATAAAGGAACGGGAGGTACAGGCCTCTATGGACAGATATGTTGTGCGACAGAGGTCCAGTGACTCTCAAGCTGGTCCTAGTGGCATTAAAAGAAGAAGGGAAGTAATCCTGGAAAAATACTTGCCACCTCAAGTCCTAATGGAAGGGGATTCCCCTTCTAAACATTAACACCATCCACAGTCTCCCCTCCTCCCATCCCATCAATCATCACCAGATCTTCAATAAAGGTAAGTGTCATGTAACTGTGCATGTCTTCTTCAGTTTGTGTGTATTAAAATTAACATTTCATTTGGTAAAAATTTTTTTTTGTTCATACTTTGGGGTGTCAGGAACGGATTAATTTAATTTCCATTATTTCGTATGGGGAAAATTAATTCGGCTAACGATAATTTCGCCTAACGTTGAGCTCTCAGGAACAGATTAATAGCATTAGGCGAGGGTCCACTGTATTACAGAAATAAATATGATTTTGATTGGTTTTAATACTGAAAATAGCTTGAAACTGAGCTTAGAGTAGCAAAAATGTTCAATTTTTACTGATGTTCAAGAGTAAACAAATGACGTCAAGCATTCAATACAAGTCAGCTGGTGGGTCTAACGTGCGTTCACGAATGCACTTATATTATTTGTACAATTATTACAATACTGCATAACAGTAAATCTTGTAATTTTTTTATGTGAATAAAATTTCATTATGTGAATAAAAAGTCAAAATGAAATTCATTTGTAATGCCTGGAAACATAACTAATAAACAAAGGAAATGTTATTTTACTGCCAGGAATGCCTACATTGTTTATTCTGAACCCTATTTTGAAATTGGAATATTTTGAACTTCGTGTGAAATTGGCCAAATTACCAATTTCCAGACACTTTATTGAGTAGTTGAAACAGTTGACTGGGTGATTTCTTGTGCTCATTCAATAAAATAGAAGTAACACTAGCAAAATAGCTAAGAATTTAGTCGACTAAAATAATGTAATTGGCCTAAAATGGAAGTCAAAGTGGGCAAAATCACCAATGCATGTACAGTGCTGACGCAGCAAAATTTGCGAGAGCGTGACGTCATCAATTTTACATTAAATTTCATACTTTTTGTTTTATTACCTTCAGAAAAAGTTTCTTTACCATTTCATAAGATTGATAAATTTTTTTTTGAAAATTCTTGGACCCTGTGGACAAGTTTCTGATCGGGGGTCTGTACCATCAAAGGGTCAAGTGCGCAACAGAGCTACGCCTAAAAAAAAAAAAAGTAAAAGTAAAATGAACGTAAAAATTGCCAGAATACAGAGACAGTGTGTGTATAAATTCTGTAAATAGTGCTTTGGGTGGACACTTATCCCTGTCACTGTCGAGACCCCTGCTTACAAACTTGTTCTCAGTGTCAAAGAATTTAAAAAAAAAAAAAAAAAAATTCTTGTGAAATGATAGAGAATCTTTTCCCAATGGTAAAGACACCAAAAGTACAAGATCTGTGTTGAACAAATTATACACAAGGCCACCACTCCCCCCTCAAGGAGTTTCAGAGGAAATAAAGAATTAAAACAAGTGGTTGACATCTCTTCCATCTACCTGGATGCTGTAATTAATTACCTGGACACTATGTAATTAATCAGCACTTGGAAATAACTATAACTATACATTCTATTTCATCAAAACATATTTTAAAAACAAATGTCAAAAAAAAAAAAATACATAAAATAAGTGAATACTTTTTACCTGTTAAATCTGCAGCTTCAGCCATGAGAAAGGTTGAATACGACATGAGAACAAAGAGCGCAGTCTCCAGCAGGGGAAAGTCCTTAAGTCGGGTGAACTTTGTGAGTATAGCAGTAAGGCAACCCATCACTGAGCCTATGAGGAAGGACATACTGAAGGTCCACAGGAAATTGAGTATCGCCAAGAAGAATGCCGAGGTCTCAAACCCACCAGAGTCACTCCCATAGCTTTCAATGGCCCTGTTTAAGGATGAAAATATGTTTTAGCATTACAGCCATGTAACCACACACAAGTTATATGAAAGTTGGTCATGGTCACAAAGAAAGGACGTATGTATATAAATAAAGTGACTATTTGCCCTTGTAGAACTTCATTCAAAGCCATGCATAAGGGAATCCCCAAGTGAGCACATTCATTACATTACTTCAAAGACCTTGTTTATTTATACTAAAAACATTTATACAGTAGACCGTCGAATAAAACACAATCAACACATTATCAACAGAATACAATTCAAATTTTGCAATGTAATTTTGAAAAGCATGCCAAAAGTTTCGATAAAAATGGCTAAAAAGCAGTGCATGAGGGCTAGTAACCCATAATTTCAGTAACTACACATTTCTGTACTTATGGTAGTCATTTACTTACCCTAGGTTTTTTTATACAACTGCTGAATATGTTGGTGATAAAATGTGAAAGTAATTAAATAAGACCTAGGTAGTAGGTTGGTAGACAGCAACCACCCAGGGAGGTACTACTGTCCTGCCAAGCGAGTGTAAAACGAAAGCCTGTAATTGTTTTACATGATGGTAGGATTGCTTGTGTCTTTTTTCTGTCTTTTAAACATGCAAGATTTCAGGTACATCTTGCTACTTCTACTCACACTTAGGTCACTCTACACATACATGTAAAAGCATATATATACACACACCCCTCTGGGTTTTCTTCTATTTTCTTACTAGTTCTTGTTCTTGTTTATTTCCTCTTACTTCCATGGGAAAGTGGAACAAAATTCTTCCTCCGTAAGCCATGCGTGTTGTAAGAGGCAACTAAAATGCCAGGAGCATGGGTCTAGTAACTCCTTCTCCTGTATATATTACTAAATTTAAAAGGACAAGCTTTTGTTTTTCCTTTTGGGCTACCCCGCCTCGGTGGGATACAGCCGGTGTGTTGAAAGAAAGAATTAAATCAGAAAGTAAAGAGATAATCTTGGTGTGGTGCCTTGATAAATGTTTCTGCTTGGAGGTTATAAGGCCATCACAGTACAAGTTTTATTATTCCTACACACCACTGAGAGCAGGGCTCATACAGCTCATGCTATCATACTCCCATAACCCTATCACTCTCTTGATTTAAAAAAATATCTTGTAAAATGGTAGATAACCTTTTACCAGAAGGTTATGACACTAAAAATGTGAAATCTGATAGACAATTTAAAAATTAACCCTTTGACTGTTTTCGACGTATAAATACGTCTTACGAGCCAATGTTTCTGACGTATATATACTCAATAATTCTAGCGGCTTCAAATCAAGCGGGAGAAAGCTGGTAGGCCCACATGTGAGAGAATGGGTCTGTGTGGTCAGTGTGCACCACATAAAAAAAATCCTGCAGCACACATTGCGTAATGAGAAAAAAAAAACTCTGATCGTTTTTTTGGAATAAAACGCCGACTTTGAGGTGTATTTTCGTATAGTATTTATCGTTGTATTCGCGTTTTCATGGTCTTAGGTGATAAAATGGAAAACATATTACAGAAATAGAGATGATTTTCATTACTTTCACGATGAAAACGACCTTGAAACTGAGCTCAAAGTAGCGGAAATGTTCGATTTTTACCAATGTTCAAGAGTAAATAAATCACACCACACGTCCAATACACGTCAACTGGGGAGACTAATATTCTTTCACTAGTGCACTGATATTATTTATACCATTTTTACAATAATGCAGTCGTCTGCATAACAGTAAATTTTGTATTTTTTTGTATGAATAAAAAATCAAAATAGAAAGCAATAATAATATAAGAGGGGCTAGAGATGTGACTAATGAACAGAGCATATGTTATTTTAGTGCCACGAATGTCTATCTTGTTTATTCTGGACCCTATTTTGAAATTGGCATCTTTTTTAGTTTGCGTGAAATTGGCCAAATTGCCAATTTCTGACCACCATATTGGGTAGTCCAAATTAGTAAAGGGGGAGGTTTCTTGTACTCAGCTGATAGATAAAATGCAGTTCTAAAGAAATAGCTATGAGTTTGGTCAACTGGAACAATGAAATTGGCTGAAAATAGGGCTCAAAGTCGGCGAAATCGCCAATACGCACATGTCGCAGAAACCGCTAACTTCGCGGGAGCATAATTCCACGAGTTTTCGACCAAATTTCGAACTTTTGGTGTCATTACCATCGGGAAAAGATTCTCTATCATTTCATAAGAAAAAATAATTTTTTTTTTTTTCAAAAATTGAGCGACATAGAATGACAGTTTCAGAGAGGGGCCTGAAACAGTCAAAGGGTAAAGCAGGTGCAAAGTTGGTCTGGATGCAATTCATACATCAACAATTTCACCCATTTCGAGACCTAGCTTAAAACCCCAATTAAGTCGTCAAACTGACCCAATTCTTGCCTAAAAGTCAATAATTTGGCAATATTTTTCACAAAATTCAACAAATTCCAATTTATAAAGAGTCCAAAATAAATGCTGTACGAATTCCAGCCACTAAAACAACAATTCCTCTGTTCACTAACCATGTCCCAGGAGCCTCTCCTATACAACACCCTCTATTTGAATCCATCACATAAAAAAATTAAACTTTTACCTTATTTCTCAGTTAATAAAATTTAATTAAGAGTAACTGGTCATGGTTTAGATCGTCCCAATAACTGAAGAAAACTTGTAAAAATCACCAAAAATCTAAGATTTCTGCTATTTTGGATCATTCTTCAAGCCACTTCCGGTCCGATACCAACCAAAATTGTCTCCATTTCACTAGTAAATCTTCTATTCTATCAACTGATACAAAAAATGTGCCTTTAATAAAACCATGAAAACTAGACTAAAATATGCCTCTGGACCCTTTCAGGGTCCAGAGGCCAAATTTCTAAGTGTGCACCAGTGTCCAAGAATTTTCAAAAAATAATTTCTTATTTTTACTTATGAAATGGTAGAGAATCTTTTTCTGAAGGTAATAAAAGAAAAAGTGCGAAATTTTATGGAAAACTGACGAAATTATGCACTCATGAATTTTGATGTGTCAGCGATATTTACGCATCGGTGATTTTGCCGACTTTGACTCCCATTTTAGGCCAATTACATTATACCAATCGACCAAATTCTTAGCTATTTCACTAGTATTACTTCTATTCTATTGATTGAGCACAAGAAATCGCCAAGTTAACTGTTTCAACTACAAAATAAAGTGATCGGAAATTGGTAATTTGGCCAATTTAATGCAAAGTTCAAAACATTCCAACTTCAAAACAATGCAGGCATTCCTGGCACTAAACTAACATTTCCTCTGTTCATTAGTTACGTTTTCTGGCTTTACAAATGAATTCCATTTTGATTTTTTTATTCACATAATGAATTTTTATTTAAACCAAAAAATAGAAGATTTACTGTTATGCAATATTGTAATAATTGTATAAATAATATCACCACATTTGTGAATGTATATTCGATCCACTAGCAGGTGTGTATTAGACATGTGAGGTCATGTGTTTACTCTTGAACATCGGCAAAAATTTAACCCATTTCCAGTACTAAAACTAATCAAAATTATCTCTATTTCTGTAATATAGTTTTTCATTCTGTCAAATGAGACCAAGAAATCACAAATACAAGTACAAAAAACATATGAAAAAACACTGCAAAGTCGCTGCTTTAATCGAAAATTTGGGTCTCAGTTTTTTTTCCCTCTCATTATGCACCGTGTGCTGCAGGATTTGTTTTATGAGGTGCACACATACCACATAGATGTATTCTCTCATATCTAGGCCCAAATTTACCACTCACAGCTTATCAGAGTGAGCTGAGCTCATGGAGTAGATCTATGGTTTGGACCCTCAACATAAAGCCGTAGATCTACGGCACGGACCCTGAAAGGGTTAAACAAAACACAAGGTCAGAGGTTAGCTGCTTGCAGGATTGTTTTTTAAACTGTGCACACCCATCACAGAGACCCATTCCCTCATATCTAGGCAAAAATTTACTAAACAGAGCATAACTGAGAGTACTACAATTAAGGTGTAAATCTAAGAGAGAGTGAAAGGATTAACCCTTTCAGGGTCAGCAGGCCCTCTCCTAAACTTGTTCTCAGGGTTGGAAATTTTTCGAAAAAAAAAAAAAAAAAAAAAAAAAAAAAAAAAAAAAAAAAAAAAAAAAAAAAAAAAAAAAAAAAAAAAAAAAAAAAAATCTTATGAAATGATAATCTTTTCCTGATCATAATGACACCAAAAGTATGAAATTTGATGGAAAACTTACGGAATTATCCTCTCGCAAAGTTAGCAGTCTTAACGATGTTCACACATTGGCGATTTCGCCCATTTTGAGCCCTATTTTCAGCCAATTCCAATGTATCAGTCGACAAAAATCATACCTATTTCACTAGAACTCCATTTTTTTTATCGAATGAGTACAAGAAATCACTCATTTACCAATTTCAATTATCCAGTAAAGTGGTCAGAAAATGGCAATTTTGCCAATTTCACACAAATTTCAAAAGATGCCAATTTCCAAATAGGATCCAGAATAAACAAGACAAACATTCCTGGCACTAAAATAACATTTCCTCTGTTCATTACTCACATCCCCAGGAATGTTACATTTTTTTTCCTTTCCACTTTGAATTTTTATACACACAAAAAATAGAAGATTTATGTTATGCAGACTACTACATTAGTGTAGAAATGGCTTACAAATGGTACAAATAATATCAGCGCACTTGTGAAAGAATATTAGACTCACCAGTTGACGTGTATTGGACACATGGCATGATTTGTTTACCTTTGAACTTTGGCAAAAAGCGAACATTTCTGCTACTTTGAGCTCAATTTCAAGGTACTTTTCATTGTGAAACCAATAAAAAATCATCTCAATTTCCGTAATATGTCTTCCATTTTATAAAATGAGACCAGAAAAACTAGAATATGACCATAAATAGCATATGAAAATACCCTGCAAAGTCGCTGTTTTAAATAAAAAACACGGTCGGAGTTTTTTTTTCTCATTAAGCACT